GAAGACAGCGCTGCCCAGCGTAAGCTCTACGATGAGGCGGAGAAGCAGCTGAAGGTCGCGGGCAAGGAGAAAACAAGGCTCATGGCACGGATCGACGAACTAGAGGCGGCTTTGCAGCCCGCGGAGGACGAGACTGAGGAAGAAAAGTGGATGGGAACTCGGGCTGCCCTGTTGAGTAGGATTCGAAAGCTCGAGAAGGATTACTTGGGGGCGCTTGAGGTAGGTTACGACAGCGCCGTGGAGTAGCTCCGGCTTGTGAATTCGGACGTCGCGTTTACTACAGCGGGGATGGGCCCTTTCCACCAAATTCTTGTAGGTCGTGTGGTCGCCCCAGAGCCTGACGAGGAAGATGAGGCTCCGACTGAGGATGATGGCGTGCAGGAAGAGGCCTCTTAGTCTGTTTGTTTTTTTTGGCCTGTGTGCCTATTTTGATTTTTCTGGCATGCGCGCCTGTTTTTGTTTTGAGATGTATTGTCGGGCCAACGTTCCCCTTTATGTAACTATGTACAATGGGTTATTCCCGCTTTTTCTTGAATGAATCTTGTAATTTTATACTGTGTGTACTTGTATGTTTATTTTCTTTCATATATGAATGTTGATTTCTTACTTGCTCGATATGCAATGTCACTGACTGCGCGAAGAACAAGTCGGGTGGTCAGAGATGGTACCCGACCGACTAGGGGTTAAGGTCTTTGGCAAAGGCCTTCCTAGACGTGAAGTTCCCATCGCGAGCTGGGTGTTCTGCCCCACTGGTACGACAGCGGTGGAGCTCAGTTGAGGGATCCCCACTGGAGCAAGGATCGTGCCGCACACGCAAAGGGTTGACTATTGTCTTTTTGTTTTTAAAACTAAGATTCACGGTGGTACCGTGTCACGCCCCTGTATCGCGATGTCGACGGATCACAGGAAGTGTTTAACTGTAATACTGTTTAAGTTGTTCTATATTCCATGGTCGAGCAAGTTTATCCCCTTGTAAGTTTTCGAGGTAGTAGACCCTGTTGCCTGTCTTCTCCCAGACGCGGTAGGGGCCTTCCCAATTTGCGGTAAGCTTGCCTTCATGTGAGTCTTTTTGGTTTCTCCGCAAAACTAGGTTGCCCGTTTGGAATTCACGCCTGATGACTTTGCTGTTATGGTGCAAAGTTATCCTTTGTTTCAGGGAAGCTTCTTGAAGGGATGCTCCCGACCTGATTTCCTCGACAAGATCGAGTTCTTCCCTGAGCACCTCATCGTTTGCCTCCTCGGGCAAGGGCGATTCGGTTCTCCTGGAGGGCTCTCTTATCTCGACGGGGATCACCGCTTTTGTCCCGTAGGTTAGTCGGAAAGGGGTTTCTCCGATCGTGGAGTGCGGAATGGTCATGTAAGCCCAGAGAATGTTGTGCAGCTCCTCGACCCATCCCTTCTTGGCGTCTCCTAGCCTACGTTTCAGCCTGCGCAGAATCACCCAGTTCGCTGCCTCAGCCTCAGACTCGATAGGACATCGCCGCTCTATGCCTACGTATTCCCTCGTGCAATGGGAAAGTCAGAGTCAACGTAGTTCAGAAAACTACGGGTGATGGGGGGAGGGTTGCTCGCCAAGACATTGTTGTCTTGTGCCTACGTATCGTCATTTGGTATGAGAAATCAGAGCAAACGTAGTTTGGGCAACTACGGGACAAGGTTGGTTAAGTATTTTTTATGAGCGACGTTAAATCTCCATTCCAGCAGTTAGGGACAATGCCTATTTGCGGTAGAACGGAAACATAGCGTACTCTTTTATGAAAATAAGGTTTGAAACAATCCCGAAGGATGAAAAAGTTTGAATTTTGTTTGTGAGTTTTAATGATGTGGATTGAGTTAGTTGGAGACTTATGTCGCACTAAAGATTATGACACTAGGAGAATGCGTCGCATATCGCCTAAAGGGCATACACTAAACACTCTAGACAAGCAAGGAGAAACCCCCCACTCATCATTCCCCTGTACTTAAGGCTCATGGTGCACGGTGCTTGTCATTCTTTATTAAGTGTCTTGAAGAAAGTTTGAGGTGAGAAAAGAAAGACGCACACAAATACCTAGGGGAAACTGAACCCTAATTGTTGTCATGTAATGTGGCCCTAAAGTCAGGATTAGGAGGGAAACTAACCAAATATTGTCATGCTTGGATTGAAAGCCTAATGTCTCTCCTATCTCAGACTTAATCGAAAATTAAGTCGAGCTAGGAATCCTAAGGGATCATGCGAATACAAGAGGTAAACAACAAGTAAACACGAAGCAACGCAATCACAGACAACGTCAAGTTTTAAACTCAAGAAAAATGTACAGAAAATAAGCACAAGTGTTTACAGATGCACTCGAGAATTAATTGGAATTAAAAAATAATTAAAGGAGTTAGTTAAGTTAAAAGTCTTATTAGTCAAAACTAAATCTAAATCCTAACTAACTAAAATCTATAATTATAAAAAAACCTAAAGATAATCCTAAATTAATCAAGTTTAAATCTAAACTAATCTAAATATAAAATTCTAAATTAATATTACTAATTCTAAAATATATCTAACTTAACGTTACTAATTCTACAATATTTCTAAGTTAACTAAAGAAATTCTAAAATCCTAAAATATAATTCTAAATAAATAATTACTAACTAAATCCTAAATTAATAAAACTAATCTTAAAATTAAAATACTAATATTAAAAATAATTAACAATATTAAAAATCTAATACTAAATTAATTCTAAATTAAATAAATTAAGTCCTAACCTAAAATTATGAAACTCTAATTTTAAAATAAACAAATATAAAACTAATGTTAATTAAGGTCTAATTCTAACTCTAAATTAAATTCTAAAATCTATTCTAATTAATCAACATAACTAATTGATAATTATTCCTAAATCAAAATTAATTCTAAAAAAGAGTTAAACTATGGTCAATTAGTAGAAACCTAACTAGACTAAGTCTAAATTAATGAAATTCTAACTTAATTTTTAATAATTAAATAGAGAAAAAAAACTAAATAAATGAAGAAAAAAAACTGAGTAAAAAAAACTAAATTAATCTTCTCTCTTCCCCACGATTTTCTCTTCTCCCCAACGGACAAAATCTCTCTTCCTGATACACGCTTCTCTTCTTCTTAAATTTTTTCCTCTTTCCCACGTTATCTTCTCTTCTTCCCTTTATTCTTTATCCTATTTCTTTTATTCTTTCTCCCTATTCCTCTCTCCTTCCAATGGAACACTCTCTCAAAGAATAAAATTCGGCCTCCTTAGATCTTCGAACCTTGAAAAAATAAAAACCAACCCATTTTCTTCTTCTTTGCCTTTCAAACATTTCTGCTCCTAATCCACCATAACCCCTCTAAAAACTGGTGTTTCACCTCCTCCAAACTCATAAACTTCGTTGTCTCAGAAAACCCGAACACCATCTCAAATGAATCAAGCCACTATACGTTCAACCATTACCCCTTTGAACGAAATGAGAAATAAACATACAACCAAACAAATACAAGTAGAAGAGGAAAGGAACATCAAACAAAATGGAAGTAACGTTACCAGAACCGTGCAACGATGAAATCGAAAGGGAATCTGCAATCGTCTCTCTCGTTCTTCTATTGTTATTACGCTGATGTTGTGATGCGGTGGAGGTTAGAATATTGCTCAACAATGGTTGCAAAGCTATTGTGAGTGAATTGAGGCTATTTAAGAGGAAAAAGAAAAAACTATAGATCCACGATGGAAGATTTATTGGCAATGTCGAAATCAATGGTGGTTGGAAGCTTTGCGTTGGTGCAGCAGACAGAAAAAAAAGTTATGTGTGTATGTTCTATCTTGCGTTTCACTTTCAGTTTTGAGTTTGGTTCGTGAGTGGTTTTGGGGTCGTGAACAGAGGTTAAGGAAGACGGCGTGTGTGGGTCGTTCACGATTACGCGACGAAGTTGGTTTCTTTGGTTGTCATGTTTTAGAAGGTTGGTAGAGATATCAAACTGTGGTGATGATGCTAAGTTACTTCAGCAAGATCACATGGCTATTGGTGTGTGATGTGATGCAGACGGTTGATTTGGAAAGGTTGTCTTTGTTGGTGTGTGTGTGTGTGTGATGGAGAAATTGATGCAATTGTGGTGTGTTTGGGAGTTGATGGCTGAGGAGTAGATTGGAGAGATTGAAGAAAAAGGTCCAGGAGGAAGAAGCGGGAGGTTTCATCCTCTTGAGAGCAAAAGGGTTCGATTTCCTCTTATTTTCCCCTCCTCAAATACTGATTCAACTCTCCTTTTTTCTCAGTATTTTTCTTGTTTATCAAAGACAACATTAACCTTGTTTCTTATGAGCATGTTCTTCCGTGTCCCTGGCCTCACAAGTTTTGTCTGGCGTGGGGAATATGTGTTGGTTGTAACAGTAACAATAGTTTGTAGAGCAGGTACAAGTATATTCCATTTCGATGAAAATGATGTGACAGTACGGTTTGAGCAAGGCAGGGTAGTAGCTGTATGGTTTTGCAGCAGAATTTTGGTTATTTGTGGTGTTAGTGTAGGTAGCAGTGTTTGATGTAATGTTGTAGGAGGTGGACTTGGCCCTCTTTTCTTGTAATAAAAATCTGTTGAAAATTAAATCTGCTATGAAGTTTTCCTTGTATTCTTATGTAACTTCTGCTGAACTTTCAATGTTGTAATTTTTCCTCTTTTTTTCTTTTCTTTTTTTAAAATAAATACACACTACAAAGCATAAATAAGTGATTCGATATACTCTTAACAACATTCAGATCAGGACTATCACCTTCCATGCTCAAAAACTTACTCAAAGGTGCATCTAAATAAATGAGGTTCAGGTGTACTTGTTGAATAGCTACAAATTAGAATTTTGTCTTTGGTTTATTGATTTCGCACCCTAAACCACCCAAGACTCATGAAGAAATTAAGAGCTCCAAATTGAAGGACAAAAGACTCATTGGAAAAGTGACAACCCTACCACTAAACTTATTGCCTCCTCCACCAGATAAACAACTAATCAATCACAAAATAACCAGGTCTAAGGCTTAAAGGCCACAACAAGGCCAACCTTTGCACTCTTGTCAATGGCTGCAGTATCTACTTCCCCAACTAGAGAAAAACGTGCTTTGGGACTCCACTCATGCTGGATCAGAGCACTTGCCCTGCCATAGTTGTTCACCCGAGCTTTCAACAAGCTTATTAGGTCTAGAGCATGTTGTGTGCCAATGGTGAGTGTACTCTCATTGCTGGAAAAGCTATGTGAAAACTCTGCCCCAACAACATTGTTAGTCAGTGGGTTCACAACATGGTAATATGAGGCATTAAGGGTGTTACCTCTATCATTGAGAGTTAGAGACGCAATAAGGTCAGCATGAGTAACATTTTTGGCTTTGGAAATTTGAATTAAATGTGGACTCATAAATTCAATGGGCTTGGGTCAAGAAAACGATAATTTCTTCTACTTTTGAAATGGGCCTCTTAAATAGATGTGAGAAAGAAATGATATGAAATTATTATGAGCTTTCATGGGGACTTATGAATTGGACTTAGGATGTGAAGAATGGTTAGAATAGATTTGGATATGAATTGTACCAAAAAAAAGAATATATATATATATATATATATATATATATATATATATATATATATATATATATATATATATATATATATATATATATATATATATATATATATATATATATATATATATATATATATATATATATATATATATATATATATATATATATATATATATATATATATATATAAATTAAATGGATCAATAAATGGATTTAAAAAAAGGGATATAATATATAAAATGGATTTTATGGATAAAAATGAAAAATGGAAAATAATGTGAATATTGAAAGTGGTTAATGGATATGAAGAAATGGATATGAATATGGTTATTTGAAATGGATAAAATAAATGGTTATGAAATATTCGAGAATAAAAATGAAATTAGAAGAAAAAAAAAGTTTATGGATTTATTTGGAGAAAGATGAATAGATGTGGATTATTTGGTTTGGACATGGTTATGGTAACTTAGATATATGGACAAAATGGACATGCATTAGGGCAAAGAAAGTAATATGGGTGAAGACATAGAAATAGATATGTAAACAGACAAATGGACTTGTATCACGAGTTCCACATAATCTGCATGAATCCTTTTCTAAACACGCTTAATTCAAACCAAAGTTCATATTCCAATCAATCTTTCAATATTTATGGACCCAAAAAAAACCAATCATTAAACCAAACTGACCATGACCGAATGCCCTTCAAATCAAACCACAAACATTTTATCCTAAAACCATGATCTCATGATCTGACGACTATCCATAAACTCATCCTTGAATGAGAAAACCGAGATCTTCCTTGAGTGCACACTCTTGTTTTTCAACTGACTGAAGTAGGAACCAACTGAATCACCTCTAAATAGGGCAGACACCATTAACAAGAAAAACTGTTGATCCCATGCCAAGAAGACCAATGCAAGGTATGCTTATGAGTTATGACCTGATGATGGTGCAATTGAGCACGAAGCAAAAGTCAGAAAATGGTTAAAAAGCGAGGGCAAATTTTGGGGTGCAATAGCTGCCCCTATTCAATCGACTTGGACCTGAAGGGATGAAGAGCAACTACTTTCATACATTCAAGGTAAAAGGTGATTGAATACAAAAGAACCCAGAAATTTGCAGTCTGTTGGGATGTATGAAATTGGATCCCGGTCATACGTCGTCGGAAGGAAAACATACCCAAAGAAAACACATCGTCAATAGGAATCGACGAAAAGAAAAGCATATCCAAAGAACCGCATTGTCAATAGGAATTGACGAAAAGAAACACAAAATCCAGAGAAACGCCTCAGTGAATCCCAAAACCACATCGTCAATAGGAATTGACGGGAAGAAACACCATATGCAACGAACCACATCGTCAATAGGAATTGATGGAAAGAAAACCAAATCCAAAGATTACCTCGTCTAATGGTAGACGGGAAGAGGACCATATCCAAAGAACCACATCATCAATAGGAATTAACGGAAAGAAAGTGTATCCCAAGATGCATATCGTCAATGGGAATTAACGGAAAGAACACCGTATCCAAATATTACATCGTCAATAGGAATTAACGGAAAGAATACCATATTCAGAGAACCACCTCGTCAATAGGAATTGACGGAAATAAAACCATATCCAAAGAACCACATCTTCAATAGGAATTGACGAAAAGAAAACCATATCCAAAGATCACATCGTCAATAGGAATTGACGGAAAGAAAACCATTCGGAGAAACACATTGTCAATAGGAATTGACGAGAAGAAAAACATATCCAAAGATCACCTCGTCTAAGGATAGACAGAAAGAAAACCATATCCAAAGAAACACATCGTCAATAGGAATTGACGGAAAGAAAACCATATCCGGAGAAACACCTCGGTGAATCCCAAAGCCACATCTCCAATAGGAATTGACGGAGAGAAAACCATATCCAAAGAATCACATCGTCAATAGGAATCGACGAAAAGAACACCATATCCGGAGAAACACATTGTCAATAGGAATTGACGGAAAGAACACCATATCTAGAGAACCACCTCGTCAATAGGAATTGATGGAAAGAAAACCATATCCAAAGAACCATATCATCAATAGGAATCGACGGAAAGAACACCATATCCGGAGAAACACATCGTCAATAGGAATTGACGGATAGAAAAACATATCCAAAGATCACCTCGTCTATAGGAATCGACGGAAAGAAAACCATCTCCAAAGTACCATATTGTCAATAGGAATTGACGAAAAGAAACACCATGAAGATCATATCAGCAAAAGGGATTTGGCAAATTTACTAGGGGAACACATCGTCAATAGGAATTGACGGAAAGAACCTGCTTGGGGATGTCATCTTCAAAGGGTTGATGGACAAAGTATGATCTTAAACCCAAAAGAAAGTAAGCAAATGAGTTGGACGAAAAAGGTCGATGGAGATATGTCACTGTCTTGATTGAAGGGTGATTCGGGTTGCCACGGAAGGTAACAAAACTGGCCTATGCTTCGCATGCATATGTTTGATATTTTTTTTATGGTGTAATGCTTCATACAAAATGGAAATGCTACGCATTTGAAGATGCAATGCCAAAATGATAACTATATGCAGAAATGCAGATGCAGGCTTGGGCTGCCGGGGAAAGAAAGATTCCCCAGGTATGATTGGACTTTGTTGGGGAAGATAGGTGATTGAAAATGAGCCTTCGAAGTAACTTTGCCTCTGTCTGATTGGTCTTTAAAAAAATTTGCTGACTTTCGACTTGATTGCCCCAGATTAACCGATCCTTAGAGAGACTTCTTGACATAACTGCCCCATATTAACTGAACTTTGGGGGAATTTCTTGATGTAACTCCCCCAGATTGGCATCTTCTGGCTGAGTCCATTGGCCACACGCTTCTCGACATATCTGTCCAGAAATTTTCTCCTGTCAAGATAATACTTCTCGACTAACATTCATTATGTAAACCTTATTGATGCCAAATATCTGTATGCAAGCAGAAAATATTTATTCTGAGAATGAAAGTTCTAATGCAGCGCACATGCTACTCTTAAAGTTTTTTGTTGAAAAGATATCGCCAAACTTTGTGAACAATTCCACTAGTTAAAATGCAACACTGATTTTTAAATGAAAGACATCATGCGCATGCAATACCAATAAAGTCTTTTAGGACAACTCAATGGGAGTCAGGAACACTATCTCGTTGAAATACGCCTTCAAAATAAACCCTGCTTCAATTAGGACTTTTGAGGGTTTTAACGTGGTCTGGTTCACGGTTTAAGAAAGAAAGGATATAAGGCTCAAATTTTATTTTAACCCACCCATTCTCCTTGATGTTCTCCAGTCCTATGTTCATCTAATTTGTCACAAGCGCTCACCTTTCAAAGGTTGGATGACAGGAGTGATGGTTAAGGAAACCAAAAGTTTTTGAAGTGACAGTCACTCGCTTTTCATCTTTGGTGTCTGGAGTCACACGACTTGTTTTTTTTAATCATTTTTCTGATTTCCCTATTTTGCTTGGACTGACTCTTTTGGATATATCTTTTTGATTTCTAAGTCCAGTGGGATGCCCTAATTTTTGCCTAAGCCACTTGTTTTCAAGTTATCGACTTAGCGGGCTTTTTATTTTTTTTATTTTCTTTTTGGGAACAAGTCGTGTGACACCGGTTTGTCTGACTTGTTGAAAGGATTGTGAGTGCCTAACTCCCTGGCTGGTGACGGATAACCACTATAAGTTTTTGAGGTACAACTTCTATAGGTGTGATTGATCCTCGAATGGGAATACTCCTTTCGCAATTAGGATGCTTGGTCAAATTAAACTGACAACTACCCTGCCCTAGGATAAGATTGAGGGTTTTTTGTTTTCAGAAAGAAACTCCTACTACTAGGCTCGAAGGGCTTGACAGGGGATTATCTTCCTTATATCTCTGGTGTTTAGGAATTTGAAATAACGCCTGTACATTATCAGCAGGATTTTATCCAAAAGTGTACAACCAGAAAGTTTGCGTTTTCGCTTCATCATCCTTCCTCAAAGAAATTAAGAAAGAAAATGGGTATTGCAATGCACAAAAATATATATGAGTGAACACGAATGAATTACTTCAAGAGAAACATACTCGTTGCATTAAGATCATCATTCAAAAACAAACAAGTTTTACATGCAAATAGAGCATTAACAAACAATGAAAAATAAAAATGAACAATGCAGTACAAAAATTAAAAATGCCATGACTGAGGAGACAACCCATGAAGTCTTCAAACTTAAATAGCTGAGAGGTTGACGTGCATAACCAACTTTCCTCTCCGAAAGGATATATACTTTTTGTCAACCAATTGTCGCACTTTGGCTTGAAAGACTTTGCAATCTTCAGTTGAATGCCTCGTGGATCCTTCATGATATCCATATTGTGCATTGGGATTATACCCAGGAGGGTATGGCTCTGACACCGACTTGAGAGTCTTGGGCTCCACCAATTAGTTTTGAATCAGATGTGGAAGAAGCTGACTGTACGAAATAGGAACCAGATGAAGATGAACATTCCTTCTTTCCAAGTTGTTGTGAGACCTCTTATGATTTTGGTGCTGATAGTTTTGTTGCTGAGGAACATAAGGTTTTTGGTACTGATTAGGGCATTCCTCATGTTCAGGCGCTTTCATTCTCAGACTTGGCCCAAGAACAGGCAATAGCTGTGGGCATGGAGATTCTGAAACCAAAGATTGTAAGATACGCTCCTGACCCGATGCAGCTTCAGGGAAGAAAACAGGAATATCCACCTCTTTCGTAGTAACTGGAATAAGACCATCGCTCGACATGAACTCAAATGCTTTTGAATCGATTAAGTCCTGAACTT